GGTTATCAATACCCAGAAGATAATTCCATTATGTCTTTTAAGACAAAATCTATTCCATAATCTTGTCTTCTGAGTCTATAAATCTTAATACTAATTAATGAAAGGTTCTCTATTAACTATCATTTCCACTCAATTGCTCTCCAAATATTTGAGTTCAACTTCCATATGTTCTGTTTCAGTAAGATATGGTATTTTTTCTAATAATTATATATAAAAGAAAAAAGATGTTTCTAATTAATAAAGAAAATCTACTGACTTTTTTTTAGCAAAGTAACAAATGTTTTTGTCCTTAAGCAAGGACAAACAGTGCATTTTTCTAATTGTTAAACAAATATACAGTTCAGTACTTACTCAAAAATCTTTTAAAAACAGGTGACTAAATATGCAACTCCAATATTTCATTTGGCTTTTCGTGATTTATATTTTCAGTCATTTATAAAACATGGATCATAATTCCCTCTGAGCACATCAGATAAATAAATGACAAAGACTGCTTGGGAAAATTAAAACACCTAATTTTGTTCAAATATGGTGAAAAAACATTATGCCTGTGCTACTGGTTATAATGAACGAAGAACTAGTTTACAAAACTGATATTGCCATTTTCTATCTATAATTATAATATATACTAAAAACGAAAATAAATATTATTACAAAACTGATACTAAAAGAGTCATGATGAGAGTTCTTTCCTTTTCAAAAAAAAAAAAAAAAAAATCTACAAACATCAATCACACAGTCCCTTCTTGTGATTTCTTCTTTCGCTCATTTTTGAAAAATTTTTCAATAACGTCCCGATCCAGGTTCAGTACTTCTGCCATCACATCAAGGCCTGCATCATCAGGTGTGTCCGAGACTTTCTCATAATACTGCATCATCACGGCATTGGCGTGGGCGCTGATCATGGTGCGTTTCTTGAATGCTGGCTGGTCTTCATCCTTCAAACAAAACACAGTCATATTAGCATTTTCAGACTGATCGTATAAGCTCATCTATCCAGGATATGTCAGGCACCTTTTCCTCATGAAATACAATATACTTGCATCTTACAACATGTTTTCTATCATTTTAATCCAGACAGATATATAAATAACAAAAATTAATTAAATAAATAAACTCTGGCTTAAGTAACAAGAGCATTAATTATGCTTATTACTATACATCAACTGGTCTACAGCAACATTAGCTTCCTTAAACACTAACAGCAATTTCTATTCAGTCAGACTGAATTCATATTAGAGGTTCAAACTGGAATAGGAGTATCCAATTCAAAGAAAGACCTCAGTTGACATAAGAAACTTGAAATCAATTCTTAATTAGCCTAGTACAAATGGTTGTCAGTGATGGATGAGACTTAAGGTAATTAAAAGGTAAGAAAACTCAAGTTCCATCTTGAAAAGATATTCACATAATCCCAAAAGACAACACTATTACATGCTGTTATCATCATCTACCCACAATGCCTCACCTCGTAGTACTCTCTCCTCATCCTTCTCTTTTCTCTGTTCTCCATCTTGTACCCTTTATAAAGTCGTTGTCGCTCTCGCGGTGGTCGTCGTAGAAACTCCTCAATCTGGTGCAGGTTGGCCCGGGTGCTGGCGGTGGCTGGGACGCCCTGTTCTGCCTTCCTCAACATGTCAGACAGCAGACCCTGAGTGCGCCCCAAGGCCACTGCCGCAAACACCTCCTGCGACACCTTCTGCTGCTTCAGCTCCTGCTTTATCTTGTCATAGATTTCCATCCCAATCTGGAAGCTTTCGGTCTCGTCTTCTTCTGGGGGTTTGGGCCTCCTTCCCCGGGGGTCCTTTTGAGATTTCCCCTCTGTGACCATGGTTTGGTCTTGTCCTGGCAGCGCGACTGTGGTTTGGTCCTGTCCTGACAGTGTCTCTGTCTTCACTATTTCTGGTGATATTGTGTTAAGGGACGGATGATCTGGAAGGCCGGGAAAAAAGAATAGTTCTGTTTACTGTAGTTTTGTTTACTATTCATATTTTTTTTAAATTTCTTTTCCAAATAAAAACCCCTACATCATATAAGTTTTCAAACTAATTTTCAACTTAAATACCAAGAAAAAAAACATTTTCCCTTAAAAAAGCCCAATGTACATGCTTCTAAAGATAAATAGTAAACAGCTTACTTCCACTACACCAGTTTGAAAGTTGAATAAAGACCAACTGAAGTCGCTTCCACCCACAATTGAGTCATTTTTCATTTGGCCAGATGATTTAGTCCTGAGTATGATAATATGCAAATGTTCCTTATATTTAAACCAAAGCAAAATCATCTTAAGCATCTGACAAGACACATTTGTTAACTTTTGCTGAGAATACAGGAAAATGTTGAAATTTGTGAGTGAAATAGGACTCTGATCAATCCAGTAAACAGAACCATTTCTCTTCTGGGCCTATATTAAAAAAAAAATATATATATATGCCAAATATGAGCAAAACACGTAAGGGCTAATTCCCAATGAAAATATCATTATATGTTTATAGATCCAATCTGAAGGGACCCTGGCTGATTGCAATCAGGTTGCCAGATTAACAGGCCTCCTCTTGTTTCCAACATACTCGTATAATCACAATGTGTTAATCGAATTACATTCAGTAATAGTCCCCTTGAATATCTGTAGACATAGAAAGATAGTATTCATTGGGAATGAACCCTAAAACAGTATGGTTTATAAGTATCTTTACTGTGCATTGGAATACTTCTCTGCACCAAACTGGCAGAGAAATATCCCGGACAAGGAGTGTTTTTTTTTTTTTTAGTTCTTCCACTGTCACAACTGTGATTGATATCAGTGAATTTAATTCATTTTTATATAATTATAAAAGACAATGATCTTATTTCAATCTGTGAACTTGAGATCTGATAAAGCCCCATTTTGACAGGTGACATCATCAACAATTTCTGACCAATCAGACGACAACAATGGCGGCTGACAGCAGCTGGGTCAATAGCTACATACAGTGTATCTATCAATACGACTTATATGTATCACTCCAGGTGCCCATCATCAACTGGATTAGCCAAATATTGTTGAAGATATACATACTTTTCTAGTCAATATCATCTTTCAATTGTCTGTAAAACAAAATTTACCACCTACATTCAGAATCTAAGATTCTGTATGACATTGGTGTAAATTGTAGAGTTATCACAGTATTGCCAATTTAATTGTCCCCATAAAGATAACCTTGCTTTTATCTGTCCCACTCCGACCTCTGATACTACACACAATCAGTACGTGATCCAGTCCAGTCAGGGTGAAAGTGCTATGGGTTAATAATCCTATACACAGCATCCCGATAACACTCAGCCTTATGTAATGGCTTAAGTATTATTTAAACAATTATCGTCAATTCTTTAAAGAAAGATATTTTTCTTCAATCAAAAGCCACACTGTTATACTGAACTTGTTGTTTATCTCAATGTTTATCTAGAGGCTGTCCAGGGAAATATTCTCTATTCAGGATATTTTATTCCACCTCTACCAAGGTAGGGTCTAAGAGGATGACTCCATCATTTTATTAAAGATCCCCCCCAAGCCTCCCAAAAGGGGAATGCTGATATCTTTGATTTTGCCCAAGAAAATTTGTTTTTTTTTAAGTCAAATATTTCAAGTTATTATTGATGTTAAAGTTAAAATAAGAAAAAAAGACAACAGACTTGCAGTCAGTCACTTCACATAATAAGAGAAGTCACTGAGGTCCGAACATAATTCAGTTAATTTCTCAAAATACTTTATTTCAATAACTTAATAACATGCTTTGATTTCATATAAAAAAGCTATACACATGGTAACACATATCAAAGAATTTGCATAATCAATAAAATGCCATTTTATTTTTTACTGAGGTGCCTCATATCTGAGCTAAAAGGATTGATTCAACAAATTCAGTATGCAAGGTCATTTTTGTTTACTTTTTATGCACTGAGGTCACAGTGACCCAGACATATTACCCAGGCACAACAAGAGCCCTCGCCAACCAGTTAATAGAAAGCACGTGTCCAGCCCAATGGTCAATGATGTGTATCTAAAAGATCAGGTGACTAGCTGACCAGTGAGAGCAAATATTAACAAGTCGTTTACAGGGAGGTATTTGACCAAAAGGTGCTCATTCCCATTTGATTAGACCCTTCCCATATTTTATTATTCAACACACACCTGTCTCTACATGTACCTTCAAATATAAATATAGTACAGCTCATTTTGGAAGTATTGTTAATCATTATCTCTATAGCTTTTCTCAATAATCAATTCACATTGATACCTAAATTACCAAATAAAATAACACACACACACACACACACAAATAAATAAATAAATAAATAAAAACTCCTTCTGCCAAAAAAAGTAAGAAAATGGAATATTGGTACAACCAAAATAGTACAACAAAATCAAACGAAAAATGGAAAAACACTTAAATAAAATTATTAACAGCTTAAAAATTAAAGAAATCTTTGGGACCCAAAAGCTTAGATCTCAATCAATATAAAGACTATTCCTTTTGGGTGTTTCAAAATGTAGCATAGTATTTGTCAACTTATCAATAAACAGAAATAAATCCACATTAACTTTTCAAATATTAATAAAGAAACAGAAAGATAAATAAATGAACAATAAAAAAAGAAAGAAAACAAAAAGAAAAAACAAACAAAAATAATAATGAGCAGTAATTAGCTACAGGAGTAATAAGAAGCTACATAATACTTTTATATGTTCTGGTCACACCTAGACAAGAATGGTAGACCACTAGATAACAGACCCCCCCCCCTTCCCCCCATCAGCTTGTGCAGGTGGCATACTAACCCCATAGTACAATTAAAATTGAAACTCAACTCTCCCTGACCTGTACTATGTTACTATAATGACAGTAGGGATCCAGAAGATTCAGTACTAGGCTAAACCATCCCTGTCACACCGGCAGTAAGCGGGTCCAGAAACTGACCAAACAAACGGCCTAAATATGAGTTTAAGCTTTACTGTTTTTTACCTCTAGGTACCCGACCTAATCCGCGACATGTCGGACAAGAAACGCTCTCTCCCATCAGCTCTTCATATCTGTGGCTGTGGTTTCTGTCTGCTACAGGACTGTCCAGGAAACCTTCATTTACGGCGTGTACAATAGGCATGAGATCGCCAGACATAATGCAAACAGGTGTCCGATTTCTATGGCACCATAGCACTAACATTTATTATCTGGGAGTCACGACCCGGTCACGAGGAAAACGATGGCCGAAACAAACAAGTCATTTGCAAGACGTAAAGTCGTTCTTTTCCCTGGTAGACTTTTGACAATTTTTAAGCTATTTTAACAACAAAAACAAATTTTCGTGTACTTTCGTGTAGTAAAATTATTCATCTACAACAGAAATATATTTAAGGGATATTATGGACGATTAATTTCGTAAATATCTGTAAGATTAAACCGACTTTACGATGCGCGGCTGCTAATCAAAATAAACCACAGTACTGCTCGTTTGTGGTCTCAAATCAAGATGGCAAAATAAGTTGTGCAAACTAAACATTTTAATGCATGACAAGCGACACATTGACTACCAAGAGATTTCTAGTTGTTATTCATTATGGGTAGTAGGGAGTTTGTAAATGAATTCCCCGAATACAAAGGCGAAAAATTACTTGAGACAGACGGCACGGTAAGTTGATTGATCATTTGAAACTTGACAAAGCCAAAGAAAGTCAAAGCGCAGTTGGCGTGCTATCATAAAAGTGCCATTTTTACCTGCAGCTACTCCTCAGAATGGCTTAAGGGGTTCACAAGTTTACAAATTGCACACTGCCATTTGTTCTGAAATGTACCACGTACATGTATACATGTAGTAGTAATGCAAATAATGGCACACACTGTAATTTTAAAACTCAGAAAACTTGAATGTGATACATGTAATTACATACCCAGTTTAGTTCATTATACAGAGGGATCTCAGTGTAGTAGTGTATCATAGCTACATTACAGTATGTGCAGAAGGCTTCAGTTGGTCCCAAGCCTTTCCTTTGATATATGTTATGTGCAGACAAAGTCAGAAGGCTTCAGTTGGTCCCAAGCCTTTCCTTTGATATATGTTATGTGCAGACAAAGTCAGAAGGCTTCAGTTGGTCCCAAGCCTTTCCTTTGATATATGTTATGTGCAGACAAAGTCAGAAGGCTTCAGTTGGTCCCAAGCCTTTCCTTTGATATATGTTATGTGCAGACAAAGTCAGAAGGCTTCAGTTGGTCCCAAGCCTTTCCTTTGATATATGTTATGTGCAGACAAAGTCAGAAGGCTTCAGTTGGTCCCAAGCCTTTCCTTTGATATATGTTATGTGCAGACAAAGTCAGAAGGCTTCAGTTGGTCCCAAGCCTTTCCTTTGATATATGTTATGTGCAGACAAAGTCAGAAGGCTTCAGTTGGTCCCAAGCCTTTCCTTTGATATATGTTATGTGCAGACAAAGTCAGAAGGCTTCAGTTGGTCCCAAGCCTTTCCTTTGATATATGTTATGTGCAGACAAAGTCAGAAGGCTTCAGTTGGTCCCAAGCCTTTCCTTTGATATATGTTATGTGCAGACAAAGTCAGAAGGCTTCAGTTGGTCCCAAGCCTTTCCTTTGATATATGTTATGTGCAGACAAAGTCAGAAGGCTTCAGTTGGTCCCAAGCCTTTCCTTTGATATATGTTATGTGCAGACAAAGTCAGAAGGCTTCAGTTGGTCCCAAGCCTTACCTTTGATATGTTCTGGTCCTGAGCACACAATCAGGTGTGGATCCATGATGGTGAAATTCCCTCGGTCCATCTGCTCTCTCAGCCAGCGCAGGTGGCAGTCGCAGATCCACGGATTGAATTCTAAGAAGACCTCAGACAGTTTGGGGTTGGTCACCTTGCTGATGGAGCCTTCTTCTAGTGTGGAGAACTTGTTGTCTTGTAGCCACAGGGAGCTAAGTGCTTTCATGGGAAGCAATCCCCCTGCCTCCATACTCCGTATCTTGTTGCCATAGACATACAGTTCCCATAATGTTGTCAGTCCTTGGAAAGTCTTGTTTGTTATCCCATTGCTAATGTTGCATTCATTCAAATCAAGGATCTGGAGATTTCCCAAGCCTGAGAAGGCATAATCCTCGATGGTTGTAAGACTGCTGCATTGCCAGATTTCCAGGGTTTGAAGCTGGGTTAGGTTTTCAAAGACTCTGGCTGGGACAGTTGTAATTGGGTTTCCAACAAAATCAAGGTGTTCAATTCTGAGAGGATACATCTCTGCCCCTTTTGGGATTTCTTTGAGCTGATTAAATCTAGAAAAAATGTATATGTAAGATTTTTTTTTCATTTTATTTCCCTTTATGTAAAACCTTGATAATAAAGAAGGGAAGATCATTCTTTTATAAAGCCACAAAGAACCGGCACTCATTTTTAAATGATCAGTTTCCTTCTGTTCCGAAAGACCCAGAAGACGGTCTCAATCCTTTCCTGCTAGTGGTTGTTGTAGTGATTAATGTAAAAAGTTTGTTCCTAATAGTAATTGCACCACAAGGACTCACCTTAGACTCAGAATACTGAGCATCTGATTTCCCCAGAACAGTCCCTCAGGTACACAAAGTATCTGGTTAAAACTGATGTACAGCACCTGGAGCCTGGAGAGAGGTTTGAACACCCCACCTGGGAGCTCAGTGATCTGGTTATTTGACAGATCCAGGTGTTCTAGGAGAGGTGTTCCCAGGAATGACTCATTTCTCAGAGTCCTCACCCCACACTGTATCAGGTAGAGGTACGTAAGGGAGTGGGGTAGGTAAGGGGGCACCTCGGGGAGGTTGGACCCCATGAGGTCCAGTGTGGTCAGCGTGGGGTTCTTTGTCTTGAAGGTGGAGACATGGAAACTGCTTAAGTTTAGGTAGTTCCCACTGAGACCTATCTCCTGTAGGAAATGGGAAAGAAGCCAGGTATTAAAGATTGATGGTGATATAGTTATTAATCATAACTGTTGTGTGGGGTGTTGGCAATTTTAATGTCACATTATGTGTAACATTGTCACAGTATTAAATGTGGCATTTTGGTAGATGAAATGTCGTTAAATGTGTTGTTTTTGTCATTGTGTTAGATGTGACAATGTGTTGTCATTGTGTTAGATGTGACATTGTGAAAAGCATGGTAGTCTGAGGAGCCAATATCATGCATTGTTCACCTGGAGCTGAAATAGATCACTGAAGGCCATATCAGGTAGGTCTACCAGGTTGTTGTTGGCTAACTCCAGCTGAGTTGTGTTGGGTGGAATACCTGATGGAATCTGCTCAAGTCCCTCACGGCTGCAGTTTGTCATACCTGTGTGGAAGTCACACCTGCACACCTGTGGACACTGGACACCATGTACAGGTACAGCATACCCTGGTCTCTGTCTTATATGTGTGCCTCCAGTTTGGTCTGGCGTGGCTTCAGAAAATTTTAAAACAGACTCTGCTGCTTTCCCAATCAATTCTCCATCTTTACCAGTAGGTGTTCTATGGTGGTGAGAAAATGTCGGTTTTAAATTTTTTTGATGGTGTTGAGGTTTCTCACTGAAAAGGACTCCATATTTGTACTTTGGCACAGTACTTGCTGAGTTTCCAACAGTGTGGATGAATTGCGGATAGAATTTTGGTTCTGGTTTAGGATTCCTATCTTGTCTCCAGTCTCCCCTTGTATCAGGTAGTGGGTTAACTGCCAATGCTGGCAATATCATCATTAACAATAATGTTGATACTGCTGCTGTTGCCATGTTGTTACTTAATTGTCACAAGTTATGTGTTGTTAGGTTCCAAGTATCTGTAGGTAGAAATCAAAGTTCAAGGATTGTTAACGTGTTTTATGTGGGAGTAGTGAGAACTTGTTTAGAGACATCAGCCACAAACACATGCACACCCACCAACAAGCATGCACACTATATGCACACACCCCCTTCCACACACACACACACAAACAATACACACACACACACACATGCACACACACACACACGTCACACGTAAATGCACCTATGCACACGCTCTCACACGTATTTATACTAACCTGTTGTTACTTTTGAATATAAAATGTTAGTGTGTTGAACAACAGTCCTATACCTAATACCTTTATATATTAAGTAATTAGCATGAAAATTAATGCCATTGCTGCAGTAAAAATGAGAGATGTTACTAGTAACTATACTGAATTGGCATTCTATAAAAAGTAGTTTACCTCGTAATTAAAGTCTGCAGTGTTGAGCCACAGCAATCCAGACTACTATGAAACAAATGTTTAGTTTAAATATTTGGGTCTTGTGACTTGGATTTGTTGATAATTAAGCTGTTAACCTAAGTGTACTGTGTGTGAATTGTGTATAGTTTGTGTGTCAGCTGATTAGACAGTCAAGGCGAGAGATAATTTAACCAGTGTTGATTCTGTGTCAGGTCAACTGGGTTATTGAAAAATTATTTGCCATCAAGGCCACATTTCTTTTGTCATTAAATTTCAGATTTGTTTAAATCTTTTTAGTAGAAGCATACGTGGTAATTAAAATGAAGACCTTAATTCACTACTTCAGTTAGAGAAGGGGTACAAGCAGAGGCTGCTGGCAGAGGTGGAACGACAACTGAACAGGCTGACTACAGGCCTACAAGACACTGATGACAGGGACTATAGTGTGTATACTGGAATTACAGGTGACTACATACCTCAATTTAACATCATTGACCTGTTATTGAATATTTTTGGTATTGCTAGTACTAGTACTTATATTTGTCTATATTTGAGGTCATTGACCTTTGGTTTGTTAAATTAATCAGAATCTTTCTACTGGTAAATATAACATGGCTTGTCATTTTACTTCTCATGTCATTTGATATTAAGAATAGATTTTTAGCATGCATTTCTAATTAAATGAATATGGTAGTAGAAAGAAAACATAAATATAACTTTCTTTTTATTATTCATGCAAATAAATATGTGTAGTTCCCAGTTCAGTGAAGTACAATGGGCTACAGTACATTAATTAAATCACAGTATACCAGGATAAAATTTAAAATGCTTACTTAGCCTTGCTCTCATCTGATTTGATTTATCCATTGTTATTTGTTAACAAAAATACTAGTAAGAGTAATAGTTTTGAATTAGGATACAAGTAAGGAGCATTTTTTAACCCTGTTCTGACCTCTGTATCCAGGCATTGCTTACCTGCATTATCACCTGTGGAATGTTGTGGATGGCCGCCAGAGCACCTCCCACCTCCACGCTGCACTGCAACACACTGAAAGAGCTCTTCGCCATCTGAAGGGAAGAAAGCTATCCTTCCTGTGCGGCGATGCGGGTCCCCTGGCCCTTGGCGCGGTGCTGTATGAGCATGCTGGGAAGAGAGACAAGAGCCGAGACTGTGTAAAGAGGTGATGGTTTGGTACCACACCAGTTAATTTACTGAATTAACTATTCTAGATAATTAATTTTATTTTAGACAACCCGATAGCTTAATTAAATTTTCTGTCTTCTGTCTTCACTTAGTATGTGTATAACAAGAACAGCCCCCTACCCCCTCCATCCCCCTGACTTTAAGGTTTAACCCAGTATGCATCATGGATACCAATACTCCATATATGTGTTGTAATTCTTTGATTTACCTGCTTCATTTGTAATTAACAAAATTGTTTGACATGTAGATGTTTCATCATAATATATACATTGCATAATTGTTCAATTATTTGATGTAACAGGTTGGTGTCGCTACAGAAACACAGAGATCCCTGCTGAGGTTCTGTACTGCAGAGCATGTACCGTAGAAGTTCACCTTATATTTCTCCCTTATGTTATGTTTCAGGTTGGTGTCCCTACATAAAGATGTGTGCAGAGACCCAGAGATCCCAGATGAGATTCTGTTTGGCAGAGCAGGTTACCTGTTTGCACTGTTATTTGTACAGAGGAATATTGACCACAGTGAGATAGATACAGTTGTCATAGAAAGGGTATGCCTGCAGCATTTAAAAAAATCTTTTTGGATTTTGTTTATATCGATGATTTCTCTCTTTGGCTTTAAGTTCTTCAGATGCTTTTCAATTGTCTTTATGAGTTGAGAATGTCCATACCAAATTACAAGTGGAAAATTCACACACTCTGATTATTTGAATATGAAATGTTTTTCTTCATTCTTCATAAAATCATTCAAAAGTGAAATGTTTTTTTTGTACAATTACCTTTAAAAGTTGCTGAAAAACAATGCTACAAAATATACATTCTAAATTAATGGATAAAGTAGACTTAGGTCTAATTTTGTTGAAGTGCTTTAAATTTAAAGAAAGCTGAGCAAAAGTAGAGAAAATTTTTCAGCCAAAAGGCAACAACTTAGGATATTTTGACTAAGACTCTACACTATTTCTCCTTGCTGGTGGTACATGTTCAGGAGGTGACTCCGCCTCTCTGATCCTCTAATTCTTTTCCATATCACCAGGTAATCAAGGCAATAATAGACTCTGGGAGGAGTTTGTCATCAGAGGAGAGGTCTCCATGTCCCCTTATGTATGCCTGGCATGGCAAACAGTACCTGGGGGCAGCCCATGGGATGGTGGGCATATTTTATATATTAATGCAGGTATGGTACCAAGACATCTTGTATACAGGTTTTATATGTTAATACAGGTATGGTACTAATTAATACATCTTCATGTAGAAGTTATACGCTAATGAAGGTGTTATATGTTAAGATAGGAGTCGTTTGTTAATGTATATATCATATAAGGATGTTTTATCATAATGAGGATTCAGCATGTGTACCAGTTCTGGTATATTTGATGTATTGTAGGCAGTTTGTGTTGAATTTGTTTTGAATGTCTTTCAGTGAAGAAATATATACTGATTCTGAGCTATGAACCATTATTTTTATCGAGATGTATTATTATTATTATTATNGAACAGGCTGACTACAGGCCTACAAGACACTGATGACAGGGACTATAGTGTGTATACTGGAATTACAGGTGACTACATACCTCAATTTAACATCATTGACCTGTTATTGAATATTTTTGGTATTGCTAGTACTTATATTTGTCTATATTTGAGGTCATTGACCTTTGGTTTGTTAAATTAATCAGAATCTTTCTACTGGTAAATATAACATGGCTTGTCATTTTACTTCTCATGTCATTTGATATTAAGAATAGATTTTTAGCATGCATTTCTAATTAAATGAATATGGTAGTAGAAAGAAAACATAAATATAACTTTCTTTTTATTATTCATGCAAATAAATATGTGTAGTTCCCAGTTCAGTGAAGTACAATGGGCTACAGTACATTAATTAAATCACAGTATACCAGGATAAAATTTAAAATGCTTACTTAGCCTTGCTCTCATCTGATTTGATTTATCCATTGTTATTTGTTCACAAAAATACTAGTAAGAGTAATAGTTTTGAATTAGGATACAAGTAAGGAGCATTTTTTAACACTGTTCTGACCTCTGTATCCAGGCATTGCTTACCTGCATTATCACCTGTGGAATGTTGTGGATGGCCGCCAGAGCACCTCCCACCTCCACACTGCACTGCAACACACTGAAAGAGCTCTTCGCCATCTGAAGGAAAGAAAGCTATCCTTCCTGTGCGGCGATGCGGGTCCCCTGGCCCTTGGCTCGGTGCTGTATGAGCATGCTGGGAAGAGAGACAAGAGCCGAGACTGTGTAAAGAGGTGATGGTTTGGTACCACACCAGTTAATTAACTGCATTAACTATTCTACATAATTAATTTTATTTTAGACAACCCGATAGCTTAATTAAATTTTCTGTCTTCTGTCTTCACTTAGTATGTGTATAACAAGAACAGCCCCCTACCCCCTCCATCCCCCTGACTTTAAGGTTTAACCCAGTATGCATCATGGATACCAATACTCCATATATGTGTTGTAATTCTTTGATTTACCTGCTTCATTTGTAATTAACAAAATTGTTTGACATGTAGATGTTTCATCATAATATATACATTGCATAATTGTTCAATAATTTTATGTAACATGTTGATGTCACTACAGAGACACAGAGATCCCTGCTGAGGTTCTATATGGAAGAGCAGGTTACTTGGCATGTAAAAAATCACCTTATATTTCTCCATTATGTTATGTTTCAGGTTGGTGTCCCTACATAAAGATGTGTGCAGAGACCCTGAGATCCCAGATGAGATGCTGTTTGGAAGAGCAGGTTACCTGTTTGCACTGTTATTTGTACAGAGAAATATTGACCACAGTGACATAGATACTGTTGTCATAGAAAGGGTATGCCTGCAGCATTTAAAAAAATCTTTTGGATTTTGTTTATATTGATGATTTCTCTGTTTGGCTTTAAGTTCTTCAGATGCTTTTAAATTGTCTTTATGAGTTGAGAATGTCCATACCAAATTACAAGTGGAAAATTCACACACTCTGATTATTTGAATATGAAATGTTTTTCTTCATTCTTCATAAAATCATTCAAAAGTGAAATGTTTTATTTGTACAATTACCTTTAAAAGTTGCTGAAAAACAATGCTACAAAATATACATTCTAAATTAATGGATAAAGTAGACTTAGGTCTAATTTTGTTGAAGTGCTTTAAATTTAAAGAAAGCTGAGCAAAAGTAGAGAAAATTTTTCAGCCAAAAGGCAACAACTTAGGATATTTTGACTAAGACTCTACACTATTTCTCCTTGCTGGTGGTACATGTTGAGGAGGTGACTCCGCCTCTCTGATCCTCTAATTCTTTTCCATATCACCAGGTAATCAAGGCAATAATAGACTCTGGGAGGAGTTTGTCATCAGAGGAGAGGTCTCCATGTCCCCTTATGTATGCCTGGCATGGCAAACAGTACCTGGGGGCTGCCCACGGGATGGTGGGCATATTTTATATATTAATGCAGGTATGGTGCCAAGACATCTTGTATACAGGTTTTATATGTTAATACAGGTATGGTACTAATTAATACATCTTCATGTAGAAGTTATACGCTAATGAAGGTGTTATATGTTAAGATATGAGTCGTTTGTTAATGTATATATCATATAAGGATGTGATATCATAATGAGGATTCAGCATGTGTACCAGTTCTGGTATATGATGTATCGTGGCCAGTTTGTGTTGAATTTGTTTTGAATGTCTTTCAGTGAAGAAATATATACTGATTCTGAGCTATGAACCATTATTTTTATCGAGATGTATTATTATTATTTCATTCTTATTTATTTATTTATTTATTTATTTTTTTGATAAAAGAGATCCATATACATGTAACTAAACATTTTATCCACAACATTGTATTTGATTTCAGGATTATCATTTCCTTCCAGGTTACCTCTCCTGATATAAGGCATTATTTGGAAGAGTTTTTGCGGCCAAGCATTGATTACCTGATGACGCTGCAGTTCCCCTCGGGAAATTACCCATCATCCATTGGGAGCGCCACTGGCGATAAGTTGATTCACTGGTGTCATGGCGCACCAGGCTGGATCCACATGTTCATATTAGCATACAAGGTAGGCCATGATAAGATTGGATTGTTTCATTGTACCTCCAGTGTAGGCACTGGCAGTAAACATGGTTTTTGTCCCCACTCATCTTGTCCACTGGCTCTGCCGGATCTGCCGCCATGTCACCGTTACCGCTTCTCCTCCTAGACTACAAGAGCCTGTTTACCCATCTCTTGGATTTAAGTCACATTATTTATGTCTTCATTTTGTTATACTTGCAAAGAAACCCCATGGAAGACGGACATAAAGTTTTGTTGGATTCAAATTATCCGGAGCATATGGAAGAGGCTGTTATTATAAGGACAGTCATTTTTTTTTTCAGCTTTAAAGATATTGCCATATCATGAATATGTCTCGGTCTTTATCCTGATATCTAAGTGATCCTAGATTCATGTACTTGTCCCCTTCCAGGTATTCAATGATAAGAAGTACATGTCAGCTGCAAAGTCTTGCTCTGAAGTGATATGGCAGCGTGGATTACTAAGGAAGGGCTATGGTATCTGTCATGGCGTAGCAGGAAATGCCTATGGATTCTTGGCGTTATACCAAGCTACCCAAGATGTCAAACACTTACACAGAGCAATAAAGGTAGATACACTGTAGATAGTAGAGAGTTGTTGATATTTATTTTTCTTTTCTTTTTTTCTTGTTATTATAGTTGATTATTATATATATATATATATATATATATATATATATATATATATATATATATATTTATTAGATAAATAATTATTATTGCTAGAGACAATGTATACCTATTACTTTATTACGTGTCAACACCTCAATCTTCCATAATAACAAGTATGATAATACTCTGAAATTTTTACTTACCATTGATCAGCATTTCCTAAAAATATAAGTAGCTTTCTGAAAAAAAAAATTTGGAAATTTATGGTTTTGTGACAGTTATTTATAAAAAGTTTTCCCTTCAGTTTGCAGAATGGTGCTTTGACTATGGTAAACATGGCTGTAGAACACCCGATAGACCGCTGTCTCTCTTTGAAGGTGAGGATTTTTGTGCCTAGCAGTTAATCTTTTCAGCTGTAAACATGAATTCTAGTAAGTTAACCTGTCATCACAAAGGAATCCCCACGCTGGCGTTGAGTAAGAGCAAGTTTTTGACTTGTATAAAACATTTACCAGAAGACCCCAGAATTGGGATTGAAGCACCATTTTACAAAATCCGTTGTATTAAAACATTGGAAGATGCATTAATCAGTTTTCATTTTGGATTTGTTCTACATAGGTCTAGCAGGTACCATCTACTTCTTGGCAGATTTAACCAACCCCCAGAAAGCCAAGTTTCCTGCTTTCCAATTGTAACAAGACTGAAAGAACAACCTTCTTGAAAGACTTCATTTGCAAGGCAGCTTTAATTTTCTTCCAAACAAAGCTAGGAAAGAGATTGATCAGTTAACGGAAATGCTAAAATTTGTGAACACATTTTAGTTGACAGCAGAAATACACAGAAATACACACAGTCTCTTCCAAGTTATGAACAATTGATGAAAAGTTGAAAGATATATGGAATGAGCATAAGTTACAAATAATTTTGTTCTGAAAGATGTTTCAGGTGTTATTCATTTAATGATATTTATTTATTCTTGCCTCAGTGTGCAATTTTTTGAGCAGTATATTTTTAGTTAATGTTACTACATGTACATATAGTACGATACGTTTTTATTTATTATTAGAACCTTGCAGTGTTGTACATGTGACAGTGCAAACAATGAAATCCCCACCCTGTCGCTGTTGGCTGCTGCTGGGGGCTGGCATAAGAACTTCTTGTCTTCCAAACATCCAACAATGTGTTGGTGGCTTTCTGTTGGTTAAGTTTAGGGCACTCTGTATCAGCAGAACATCTGTAACGTAAACAAAAGAAATGCTTTATATGACAGCTGGTGCTTTTTATATGTATCTTTTCCAAAGCAAACCTTAAGAAAAACTCTGGAAATAAAAAAAATGTGTTGTTATGTTGTTATTTGCTTTTGAGCTGTAGATTTGTAAAAGATACAAGCTATAATATCTTGCAACTGCATTGAAAAATAAAATGATCAACATTGTACATGGCACAAGGACTTGCTTGATAAAAATACTGCACCATTTTCGTATACAACACACTACATGTACCAGGTAGGTGTCCGTATATATATTAACCCACATGACGTTATAAACCCTGTATATTATGGTTCTAATCCGTTTCCACTTATTCAAAGTTAAATGATAAACATGTACGTTTGTACAGGCATGCATTTAAAAAATCACCACGAAACATGAGATAATCGATAATAAAGATGTCTAAGCTTATACGTCTTGAAAAGAAATGCTTTCTAAGGAGAAACTCTGTCTAAAGCAGTACGTCTTTTAAATAATTATATAAGACAATAATACGTATAATGTTTTTTTAATTGTCTTAAGTTATCCTGCCCACATTTAAGAAAGTACCAAAGTCGCATTTTTCAAAAATTAAGACCTTGAAAACTTTTAAAATCCCGAAATATACATAGGTAGCTTAAAAACGGGTAGATGTTTTTTTTCCACAAAACCTGAGCAAATGCCACGTCCATGTACATGCACCATATAGTTTTAAGCGCAGTATACATTCACACAGTTGCACGCCCGTTACATGACGACTTTGCAGGTAGCACCTTACAACTTTCACGTACCTGTTCGTCAAATGGAAAATTACCATGCACGTGACCTAGATTTGAAGCATATTGCTAACGTAAGCCCGACTGCAGAAATGACGGCGGCTCAACAACACTGCGACTTAAGCTGGATACCAGTCATCGATATAAAGGCGTTTGATATCACAAAAGAAGAGAATGAGGTGGACAGAAAAGAAATGGAAAAATTGGCAAATGATGTGTTCAAAGCTTTCAGCACCGTAGGTTTTGTATACGTGAAAAATCACGGAATTCCCCAAGACCAGGTTAGTAAACACATGTACATGTAGCACAAAATTGTTCTTGCATGTACAACAGCATATGTTAGCAGACATTTAATATCAGAAAAGTAAAAAAAAATTAATTTCCTTGCAAGTACACAATGTTTGAAAATTCGCCAAAGTCATATGCGCTATATCTATATATCCCGCAAAGCTACTAATCTAAATTAAAAAAAGGGAATAATCAACTCCAGTTGAAGGGATGGCTCGACCTATTCTTTGTGGGTAGGAATATTCTGGTTTTTTTTTTTTTTTTTTTTTTTTTCGCTGTCAGAAAATTCCTTTTTAAGGGCTAAATATTATTTAAGAGTGCCTTTAAAAAAAACCCAATTTAGGTTACATTTGCATCAGACGCCGAGTGCTGCCTTATAAGATTTTCCATACCATACAGCGTGTGAAGTGTCTACGGGCTACGGGTGGTAGAGTATGTTTATAATGTAATTTGTATACGGGTGTCGAACTCTTTCTCAGACATGGCCTTCCCAACAATCACACAATGGTTTATAACGTTACCATAACATTACCATAACGTTTTTTGGTAATATTTACGTTATGGTAACGTTATAATAAAGTTCTGTTTCCTGGGTTGATAGGTCGGGTTGGGAAAACCGTTCTTTCGCTTGAAAAGTTAGGCGTATCAGTCACACGGAGCCTTCAGTCTCAGTGTACATGTAGTTGCTTATACCCTCAGAGCGGTTATTTCTTGTAAACTTGTGACCAAGTCCCTAACTAATTGCAAGTTATAGATAAAGTAGAATGAAATAAATAAAATGATAATTTCTGTCAACAAGTTTTAAGTTGTTTTTTGTGTTTGGAAAATAAGAATATCATCTCTTAACAAAAAAGTTTGTACGAGCTATTTAAAGAAGCGACATTGATAATCAGCTGAAGACAGGAGAAACATTTTGAAAATGGTTACCTCAATACAAGGTCAAATGTATATATTTTTGGAATAACAAACATACATGTACGGCTTAACTGAACCCTAAAGGATATCCTGATAACTATTTTCCTGTCTGTCATATCTATTATATTGATTCTGTTTTTCTAAATTGAGACTAAGTTTAAGCGACACACGCTGTAAACGAAGCATTGCCACAAATTGAGTTGCAAGCTATTGAATCGAGAAGTCAAAAAATATTGCTATCCAGAGATAATTTATTTAAAAAGCTGCTTGTAGTTTATAGTGAGTCTTAATTGTGCCACGAAACTACGAAAGTTTATAAGCAGCTTAATAAAGGACACTATGAGCAAGACTATCAGATGACCTCGTTTATAATGACAGTAGGTCATAGACTCGAAAACATGTTATCTGTCATTGAGGAAAACCATCCAATTGCCAAATTAATTTTTGATTTGAACATTTCTACATATAGAGAATTAGCAGTTGTAATACATCTAGATCAAGGTTATTTGATTGTTTTTTTCTATTCTGTTATTACCCCTATATTAAATCATCTGTGTCTATAGCACAGTGTAAGTTAGTCATCTAGTGGTGTTTCACATGAATAAAGCATTTAATCTATAACGAAATTAGTCATGTTAAGTGTATAGTTTCCACAGTTGTTTTGGTTAAGATGCTGTCTTTATCCTAAACAAGGCAGAATTTTTTACAGATACGCGTGTACCCAACAGAATTGTCAAATATAAGATTTTGGAGTAAACATTGATTGTTAATGTATTTTCAGCTTGAGAATATATTTAGTTTAGCTGATGAGTTTTTTGCACAACCACAAGAGACCAAGGACAAGTTCATTCGTCCCTTATCTGACCCAAGTGGAATTGGTTACATTCCAATAGGGAGAGAAATGTAAGGCACACAGGCAGGGTGCACAAATGTGTCACTCTCAGTTTGAAGGCATATTTCTTCTCAAATCTGTATTTTAATGTAACTATCATTTTTACTATTTCCATGTTATTGCCATACCTGTATGTTTAAAGCAGTTTCCACTCTTCATCGTTTGACCCTGTTTTCGGTCTGTTAATTTATGCTTCTTAAAAATCCCATCTAAACATACACGTGTTGATATAATTATATTTGTATTAATGCAGAAATGAAGAAATGAAACAATTTTTGCCCTTTTTTTGATAATACACGAGAAAAAAAAATTTGGCAAAGGTTAGTCATAGGCATACTGAGACACATGAAGGCATGAAATGATTAATAAACGGCATGAATGTAGTGTCATGAAGATTAACTGACAACAAAGATGTAATTAATTATTAAAAGTGGCTGTGCAACATATTCACAACTGGATGAGAATTTTCTTTAGTTTTGAAACGGACAAACCTGCTGACTTCAGGGAGTCCTTTGATGCTATTCCTGGAGGAGCTTATAATCAGGTAACACTTCATTCTAGTAAAGCGCTCATGATCAGAGAGTGTAGATTTGCGCCAAGGCAACTCAGGTCCCTATCTCATTTCTTATAAACGGATTGTGTTTACTAACACTACCCGCAGATCTTTTACGGTAGCATTAACGCCCATATTAATCACAAAACCCGTGAATTAACCAACACAGCGTACAGACGTTTAGCACCAACAAAGCAATACCAAGCGCAAACATTCATCCTCTCTGGTAGTGCTGGTTAATTTGAGGGTTATGCGGTTAATATCGGTGTTAGTGCAAAAAGATCTGCGGTTAGTGTTAGTAAACCACCTAATCCGTTTGAAGGCCTGTCATTATTAAAAGAAAAATAGAATAATTGATTAATGGGTTATCACCAAAACCCGTTAAAAAGTTTCCTGTTGTAGACACATCCCCTCATGTAGACATTTAGATGTCATAATCAAAATTAGGAGATTCGTTTTAGCTATGGCCAGGTATCCCAAACTTTGAGAAGGATGTGGTGGAGTTCCACAGAACTTGTGCCAAGCTGAGCCTTCGAATGCTGAAACTGATTGGGATGGGACTTGGACTGGAGGTAACGGATATAGATAGCACGTTTCACTACAAAAACTACACGTAGAGCAAAAAAAAAAAAAAAAAAGTCATGCAGAATTCCGAATTTGAGTCAAAGGTTTTAGTCCCTAGACTGATAGATCGGAATGCTTTTACCACAAGTGTTTATTTGGCATCATACATTAGTCATGTTTCCATTTGATAAAGCCGCCCATATGGTTCCGGGACCCCTGATGGTTTCCAACTCATTAGAGAAATACATGTAGACAGTTGCCTCTCAGAAGCCGTCTGGTATATAGTAATAGTAACCTGCTAAAACCAGTCGGGCTTTCGCAAAGGGTCTAAAAAACCTTTTCTGGTGGCAATCGGCCCCTTATATCTGAAGGGGACCGCTTGTCTTTGTTTAGTTATACCGGTAGCGGCAAAAGCGTAAGAACAATGGATCCTGTTTCCTGGTGGTAAATTGTGGATACCCTGTGCATGTCATCTAGGAAGGTACACCAATCTGGGCATACCTCTGTAAAAGATTGTCCCTATTGACACAATAATCTGTCTGACAAAGCGTCTTTCTCCCAATTTTTTTCCTCAGAGCAGCAATGCTTATTCAATTCACGCACTGCTAAAATGGCGAAATTCCAAAATCATCTGTGACGGTTTTACCAAAATATTGAGACAGAACCGTCTCTATCATAGCCATGCAAGAACCAGCCCAAAGAGTACATTGTACTTTATACCCAATGAACTTACCGCGTATTACGTAATGTGGAAGTGCCCCACACGAGACATTCAATCGATTGGGACTGACACGCCTGACTACGCATTTCTCTATTCACACATCTCACATGTTGTAGAAAATATTTAAGAATAATATGTTCTAAACCAAGACAAACCTTTTAAGCTTAAACATTCTATATTAAATGTCTAGTTTGTATATGTAAAAAAATAGAGGCTGCTCGCTTCTCAAAAATGTAGTTAAAGTCACAATAAATGACATACCAAACCAAATTTCATAAAAAAAAAAAACATTAACAACAGTTTTATGTTATGTTGTTTTCTTAAATATATCTTATTTTTGGTTTAGACATAGATTTTGAGTGTCTCTGTGTGTGTATAAATGCTGCAATGCTACATTTCAATGCAGTGCTTATTTTCTCAGGACCAAAATGAGTTACTCGCGTGCCATACAAATCTCGTCAACTGGCGTGACAACAGCTCAACCACGTTAAGACTGTTGACATATCCTCCTTACACCGAAAAAGAAGGTATTTTAAGAGCTTTTTAAAATAATAATACACTGCTTCGCTTTACCTTCTGCTTTATGGATGATTGTTAGTGATATTATTTCTGCCTCTGCAAAAAAATTTGGAATGGTAAGTAAGTCCTTAACCCAGCTTAAGCGAAAATGATGTGGTGAGTTGATCTTGAGGGGATTTACTAGAACTGTAACCCAAAATGGCTTGTGTACATTACATTAAGTAAATATAAAAGTGCCGTTACTGTACACAATGCGTACTAGTACCTGCATTTAACACCATCTACATGTAGGCTTTGATATATTGCTTGCCTATACGGTCTGCAAGAAAGGTGTTTTTCTTTTATGTGTTTTGTTTGTTTGGTTGTTTTCTGACTCTGGACAAATTTTGTTAAGGAAGTCCCAAACTCAGGTAACAACAAAGAAAAGTCTGACAGAGGATTACTAGTGCAGATCTATAGGTCTAACATTAGGCCTTACATAAGGGCTTGTTAAAAAAAAAAAGTTGACTAGAAAAGCAGTATGAGAATGCAGTCCTCTGCCAGGATCACCACCAAAATCTAAGCACCTTTAGGTTGGCCCACTTCTGACCTGTCCTGAGAATTTCATGAAACTCCATCACATAAAGGCAAATGACAAACACAAAAATAAACAGATCGGTGTACAGAAAACAGAGATAACACACAGCCTCCCTGGCAGAGGTTATAAAAGTGTCAGTGCTTCATACTGTTTACTACATGTGCATGTATTATTAACTTGTATATTATATATATATTTTTCTTTTTGGGTCGTTTTAAAATTGGAGGAGTTAAAAAACCAAGTAAAGCACATATACACTCAGTCAAAAAAGTTCGGAAACATCGTTATTTTGAATTATTATAAATTTACCATATAAGCTAATTTAAATATTTTAACAAATGTTGATGGATAATGCGCCCACCATTCGTTACTTTTTGCAATTTTACCAAGAAAGGAATTCCGTGGGAATAACTGCGAGACACAGTTCAAATGAAGTTTTGGAATTGCTCAGCATCATGTAAAGCCTGCACTGTTTATTGTCAAGACCTGTTCAAACTTTGTCATTGAAATGACATGATCAACAAAGATTATATTTACTGTCGTGGATATAACTATGTTCCCAAACTTTTTTTGGCCGAGTGTAGAACTATATATATTTACCTTATTATAAAGATTATTTTTTAGATGTTATGTTTTTGTATAAATTGCTTTATTACAGCAATCAGATGGATTACACATTTCTTGATATTTGTTATTCTATTACAATTTTCAGACCTGACCCCAGGCCAGACACGATGTGGTGAACACACGGATTACGGCTCCATAACTCTGCTCTTCCAGGATGATATAGGAGGCCTTGAGGTAATTGTGTTAGGTGTGACAGGTGCTTGCATTAGGTGTGACAGGTTATTGTGTTAGGTGTGACAGTGTGTCAAATGACGGTAAAAGATGAGGTTAAAAACCTTGGAGAAATTTTTGGTAATAGGTGCGATATGGCTGCCAAAATCAGTAAAAATGCAAAGCTGCTTTCTATGGTCTTAAAATTTTTTTCCAAACTATCCCATATCCTTGACAATGGCCAAATGGAGAGGCTTGTCCATGCCTTTATAACTGCACATCTTGACTACGGAAACAGTCTTCTCTATGGCCTTCCTACCTACCAAAGCCGCCCACTACATTGGCTTCCTGTACGACAGAGAATTGTTTTTAAATTACTGATGTTTGTTTTTTAATTCACCACAGGTGAATGCCCCTCATATTTTAACTCGATGCTACATCCAAGTACACCAGTCTCACCAGGTCTACCAGATCCACCTCCACTCTTTGTTTTACCAGAAATGATAATAAAAAACAACCAAAATCTACGGCCATAGGGCATTTTCAATTGCAGCGCCCATTTTATGGAATCAACTACCCTCACACATTCGGACTATTAATAGTGTTGAGGTTTTTAAAAAAGACTTTAAAACATTCTTATTTGCACATCAGTACAGTATTTTAATTAAATTTTAATACTAGAACCTTCATATTTTCTCATTTTATCAGAAAAAAAGTTTTATTGTTCAGACCATTACTATTTTAACCAGCATTAATTAGTTTAATTGTTTTTTTTTACCTTAGCTTTTATTATCTATATAATTATTTGTAATACTGATAATTTTATTTGTAAACAGCACTGAGACGGTAGTGTAGTGCGGTTTTAAGAAATAAATATTATTATTATTATTATTATTATTAAGTGTGAGTGTTGGATATGTCTCTGTTAAGAGTGATGGTAGGTCTGTTTTGATTCTGTGCAAAGGCTCGCAGAGAAACCATGTGTTCGATGTGACAGTGTGTCAACTGTGACCCGTGACACAGTGTAACTTTGTGTTTGATGTGACAATGACAGCGTTAAGAGGGTTGATGGATTAAAGTTTGAGATTGCGTTACATGTAGATGCGACAGTAAATGTGTCTGTAAATTGTGGCTGCATGTAATTATATCTTGATTGTCCCGCAGGTGCAGACAGTAGCTGGAGAGTACAAACCAGCCACACCTATACCTGATACCATAGTGGTCATCTTGGCTGACATGATGCCCAGGTGGACCTCGGACAGGCTGAAGGCCACGGTGAGTCTATGACTACCAGACTACTGCTGCACTGCTGTTTCTTAATACTTCAATTATTACCTGTCTGTTTTGATTTGCTCATTAATTGTTATTCAAATTATGAGTGCAATTTGCCAGCCCGCCTTTTCCAAATGTATATTATACCAGTATGGTGATGACTTTTCCTCATTTTTGAATTAAAACTTCTCGACTTCCAGCATTCCAAACCAGGATTTCCCTGCACCAAACACTCATATTTAACGAATTTTTAGTGGTAAACGACATTTTCCCTCGACTTATCAGCATTTTATCTTCTTTTTTTCGACACTCGACACTCGATTCCGTAATTCTGTTGTGGCATGACTCGAAAAGGTACGCCCTGATGTTAAAATAACATTTTTTTACGTTTTTAACATGGCCTCAACCGTTCAGCATTTAACTCACACTTTTCCATTTTTCTAGCTGCACCGAGTTGTGCCTTCCCATAGGAATAACAGACGTAGAAGTCTGATCTATTTCACTGACCCTGATCGTTCTACGATTGTGAAACCTCTTGATGGATCGGACACATACCCTCCTATCTGTTATACAAGATACGTGACACAGCAGTTTGTCAGCACAGGAATCCTGGGTGAAGACCATTATGGTGACGTGGCCGAATAAGTCTGCATGTAAGATGGGTTTGTGAGTTCTGTACTTTGGATTTTAGGTCGTGATTGTATTGTTTCGTTGGTGCTTCGTTTAAATGCCATTAGGGAAATTATTTAACTATTGACTGTTTTACAGATATGATTAAGTAATTTTGATTTCTTTTAATACTTCAATGTATTATTTGCCCCAGATTATAAATTCAGAACAGTCGATATACCCAGCAAACGCAGAATATTATTATAGCACAATGTTTGTATATCGATCACAAAAGAAAAAAAATGGTAACGTTATAAAAAGTCCTGTGTTTGCTGGCATAGGGCCTTTACTTGCCTCCGTTTTGTTGAATGGAAAAAGTGGCTCAGTTAACAGCTTCACCGGTTTCCCTTTTAAGTTCCCTTAATCTCAAACCTTTATTTCACATGCCTGGTAATCAACATTGTTATAGATATTGTTAGTAAGTATTATATCTAATACCTTGGTGTCAATAACAGTGTTCTCTTTCTAATTAACACAAATAGTGTTGTCAAGTTTATTGGTCCTATTGACCTTTAGACTCATTGATCTTGGTATCTTTACCCGTCTTTTAGTATCACTAAGCGAGCCCACCAACCATGATGAGGATCCTGTGACTGCAGCACCTACGTTGGAAAAATTTAAAAAAGGGTCCACCAATATGATTATAGAACACCCCAGCAAACATTATAAAGAATGATACAGGTCGAATTAGCTGGAAAATTATATTGGCACAGGATTGACATATATACAGCAGATAATACATACCCATAATTAGGTGCCTAACTGATATTTAAGAGTGGGCTTACATTAGAGTTCAAGCTTTTGTCAAGTTAGTCGGAGCTTAAAATACAATGCATGTACTAAAGATTACTCTGAAAATGACATAACAGTTATATATATTCACATTGTTGATGGTGGTGCTGAAGTAAAAATTATATTGATATGAAGATGTGCTTGTTTTGAAAGTCCCTTGTTATTGCTTAACGCAGTTATAAAATGTCAACAGGTACTCATATACATGTACGTTTATACAGGTAAACAAATCATCACGAAACATAATTAAGAGATAATCGACAATAAAGCTGTCTATGGTTATACTTCTTGGAAAGAAATGCTTTCTAAGGGGAAACTCTACCTACGGCAGCAGGTTTTTAAAATAATCATTTTAGACAATAAAAATGTGTTTTAATTGTGTGAAGTTATCGCGCCCACATTTGAGAATGTCCCAAAGTCGCATTTGTTAGTAATACAGAACAGGATAGGTTTTAAATTCCCGAAAGATACACAGCTTAAAGACGAGAAGACATGCAAATTTATTCCACAGAACATTAGCAAATGCAACGTACATGCACCATGTAAACAATATATGCATTCACACAATAGCACGCCAGTTAAAGGACGACTTTGCAGGAAGCACCTATCGACGTTCACGTTCGTCAAATGGAACATTTCCATTCACGTGACATTTTTTCACGTATCAGATCTACCTTTGACCCAGATTAGCAGCATGTTGTTAACGTAAGCCCGACTGCAAAAATGACGGCGGCTCAAGGAAACTGCGACTTTAGCTGGATACCAGTAATCGATATAAAGGCGTTTGACATCACAAAAGAAGAAAACGAGGTCGACAGAAACGATCTGGAAACGTTGGCCAATGATGTATTCAAAGCCTTCAGTACCATTGGTTTTGTATACGTCAAAAACCACGGAATCCCCCAAGACCAGGTTAGTAACTACATATAGCACGGAATTATATGCATTAACACTACTGTGTTACGTTTTATTGCGTGTTCTAGAGTATATATTAGCAGACACTTTAAGGGGAAGTTAACTGTATGGGGAATAAAATCCATACCCCTTCTTCGTCCTAGATCTTCCGATGTGAATATCTTTGCACGAGTACGTAGTGCTTACCTCTCACACAAAGCATTAAACGACGAAAAAAGGAAAAAAAAAAAAAAAAAGAAACGAAACGCACTCTTCATCACTCCCCAATTTGATTGATCAAGATGACTGAGGTGGTTCATAATCCATAATGGTCCATAATCAAAGATTCTGCCTCTTCAATCTATCTTGACGGTTAACTGTCAGCTCACATAGTAACTGAACTCGCTGTATTATGTACCAATTATGTTGAAATCAGGAATGGATTCTACAACCCCTAAAACATAAGAAAAGACATATGACACACTATAGTACCTTTAGTTGTTGTTGACGAAACTCTAGGTAGACCGTCTTGGCTGCCATTTTGAATATTGTCATTTTACTAACCTAAATAATTGTTGTAGAAAAAAATGATTGTCGTATTTGTATTCAGCATCAAATTGCGCCTGCGAAAACACCTGATGTGTAATTTTTTTGAGATTTACCCTACCCTAATGCCACGTGCCACCATTATTTACATCGATGTGAGCGTGTGCATCTGTCGCTTCATATAAATTATATAATATAAATTATCGTCACAACAGGAGCACAGCATTTCTTTTTTCTATCAACGATGATAGAAAAAGGAAATAAGGACATAATGCGGGCTCGGTAGAAACATCACAGGGCAAATATAACCTAAGCTTTACCTGTTAAACACGTCGGAGGAAAGGCTCTGCCAACCTATATTGTACTAGCAGAGGTCTGTATGACTAATGTACATGTATGTCAAATTGTTTTTGAGCACAACTTTTAACTTGTGAAATCAATCTTTCTAACGTATGAAAAAGAACATATAAGCAGCGTAAAAACAGCGTATTGGTCGCGGATCATAGCGTATTCACACTGTATGACATGCGTTTGAATATCGAATAATATAAGCATTCAAAGGATGTCACGACTGCAGCGTATGTACATGTATGGGTAGCGGATGAGTGTCGCATATCAGCGTTTGGGGTAGGGGTTTGCTCAAGCTTTGTACTAATTTATGTTGATGAGAATCTTAGCAAAATGTATCCCCGCAGACATGATAGATCAACTGTGGCTTTGAGCTGGATGATAAGGTGTTGATAGGGCCGCACATGGGACTAGCGGCAGGTGACTGCTGGTTGCATCTCTTAGGGAGCGTTCCCAGGAGTATTCTAACCCCCCCCCTCTTCGGTTTCTGAAAAAATAACACTACTATTCCCCTCTTGAAATTAAAGTTTTAATAGCTTATTTATAGTTCTTGACCATTCCAAATGGCACCGTTTGACCTTCAAAACACCAAAATATTTTGAGGCCCTTTAGCGGGCCCCAAACCCCACCACAAGGGGGCCGAGGCGCGGATTCGAATCCGAGGCATGTCATTTGTAAAAAAAAACACTGACCCCCCCTTCAAATGCTGGAGCTGCCCCTGTCTTACCACCTGTATACTGCGTTCAGCAGACAAAAATTTGTCTTCTTTGCAGAATTATTTGCCAAAAATGTTTTTCCCAAAATTCGCATTGTTGCAATAGCTTTTACACGTTTGAACGTTTTGAAATAATTTCCTCTTCTTATAGGACTTGCTACTCAAAACTTAAACCGCTCAGGTGTAAACCGCTTTGGCTCTCATCGTGCTCTATAACGTCACAAGTGAAGTCTAAATCAGTGTAATCTCAGTAATCTCAGTGTAAAAAAGTCAAAGCATCTAACTAGGAACTAATCAACTAATCAATAAAATCGACTAATCAATAAAAGCCACCAAACTTGAATTGATTCAGTAACTTTCCCGCCATAACACCACGTCATACAGTGGCGGATTTAGGGGGTTTTGAAGAAAAGATTACACCAAATTTCTTCCTTTGATTTAAAATTTTGATCAGCTGAATCATAGTTCTAAACAATACCAAATGGCGCCGTTTGCCCTCTAAAACACTCCAAGGGCGCCGAGGGTCGGCTTCTTATCCGAGGCCAGTCATTTCTAAAAAAATCGGAACCCCATTCAAATAACCCTGGAGGGACTGTCAATGTTATGTTTGACTATTACAGGGTACGTGAGATTGTCACCTAAATGACTGACTTTTGGGTGCCTTTGGGGCCAGTGAAAGATAGTACCCCCACCCCGCCCCCTGTGGCACGGTAAACATTGGCGGATTTAGGGAGTGTCGGGGGGGGGGGGTGACCTCCTTTCAATTTCTAAAAAAAAATCACACCAATGGTCCCTTCTTGAAATAAGAATTTTGACGAGCTGAATTTTAGTTCTAAACCGTACCAAGTGCTACCGTTCGCCCTCTAAAATACCCATTTTTTCTGGTCCTTTCAGAGGGCCTCGTACCCCACGGTGGACTTCGTATCTGCGGACCCCCTCCCCCCTTTCCAAAAATCTTGGATCCGCCCCTGTCATAGTAAAAAAGTAATCTATTTAGGAACGCTCCGTGTGGGCTTTTCAAATAAGTGTTCTTGTACATGATGAACTTTAACAACGTTGATGATGATACCATGTTGGCAGACTGTCTACGCGCGGGAAGAAATACCTAAGTTCGGCTCACGGCCTATTGATTGTTATGGCAGATATATACATATACAGCCAAACTGGCCCTCTCTGTGAGAAAGTAGAACGTTTCCATTTGATCCGCATCTTACCAACGAAGCTTCTGTGGCTCCGTGGTAACTCTACCGTCTTAGACACAAATACTCACTAAGGCCTGGGTTCGAGTCCAAAGGTTTTCAAAGTGACTTTTTTGCTAGAAAAAATGGCTAAAAATTGCGTTTGATTACTATAAGAGGAAAATCGTACGTATGGTCGATGGGCGGTTCAGTCACGGCGTTGTCGGTAGCGTACTTAGGTGCAAAAAATACCAAACCATCAGCAAATCATGGTAACGGCAAGTCACGAGTTCAAATCCCATATGACGCATGTCAGTTGACCACAAGAGGCAGCTGGTCCCGAAAACGAATGCAGGTTCGTGTGTGTCCGAACAAATTATCTTTTGCATAAAAATATTGTATAGTTTAGAATTAGGGATAGATTTTTACAACTTGCTCGTATTTATCATAAAGTTCACTCATAAATTACATAAAGGATCAATTTATAATAGAAAAATTCAATGCATTAAAAAAGCTAAATTTAACAAACTTTGAAAACAAATGGGAAAATTGGTCAGACATGTTTGAATTTAATTAGCTTCAGCAAACTAATATTTTGCACTTTTTGCTTGTTTAATAATATGTTGTAGTTATGGATGAATACATTGTGGTATCGATCTTTATTATTATTATTATTATTATTATTATTATTATTATTATTATTATTACACCTATTGTTCATGAGATTATAAACTTATATTCGTGTGTGTGAGAGAGAGAGAGTGTGTAAGAGAGAGAGTGAGTGTGCAGTGTGCATTTACCATACTTGGGTATATGTACTTTCTTATACTGAAATTTTTCAATAAAAAAAAAATAAAAAAAAAAAAAATAAAAAAAAAATAAAGTTCGCGTAGTCAATTACATTTCTTTTCTCTTTGCTTTAAAGTCTTAAAAATGATACTTAGGCAGGGATGGTCATTAGCCTCTTTCCTTTACCAACTACGCAACGGATCAAAATTGAACAGAGTCAATACCTTACCTGGCATGGCGTCATGCATTTCATACAACCTCTTCATAAAAAAGCTACATGCTCGTTGGGATTATCAACAAGAAAAATGTTTTTCAAAATTCACATTGCCGCTATGGTTTTACCTAACCATACGTTATGTTTTTTTATGCCCCCCCCCCCACCCCACCCCTTTGGTCTTGCTTATCAAGACTGTACATACAACATTGGTCAAAAAGGTTGTCCCACAACAACCGGAACCCCATTCAAATAATCCTGGATCAGCCCTTGGAGAGACTGTCAATCTAATGTTTGGTCTTTGTGTTTTCAGATTGACAATATATTTAGATTGGCTGATGACTTTTTTGCACAACCCCAAGAGACCAAGAACAAGTTCATCCGCCCCTTATCTGACCCAAGTGGAATTGGCTACATTCCAATAGGGAGAGAAACGTAAGGCATGCAGGCAGGGTGCACAAATGTGCCACTCTCTGAAATCTGTATTTTGATGTAACTACCATTTCTATTATTTCCATGTTATTTCCATGTTATTACCATACCTGTATGTTTAAAGCAGTTTCCACTCTTCACCATTTGACCTTAAAAATCTCATCTCAACATACACATGTTGATATAATTATATTTGTAATAATGCAGAAATGAAGAAATGAAACAATTTTTGCCCTTTTTTTTGATAATACACGAGAAAAAAAAATTTGGCAAAGGTTAGTCATAGGCATACTGAGACACATGAAGGCATGAAATGATTAATACACGGCATGAATGTAATGTTATGAAAATTAACTGACAACAAAGATGTAATTAATTATCAAAAGTGACTGTGCAACATAATCACAACTGGATGAGGATTTTCTTTAGTTTTGAAGCAGACAAACCTGCTGACTTCAAGGAGTCCTTTGATGCTATTCCTGGAGGAGCTTATAATCAGGTACCACTTCATTCTAGAAAAGCGCTCATGATCAGAGAGCGTAGATTTGCGCCAAGGCAACTCAGCTTCCCTTCTCATATTTCTTATAAACGCGGATTAGGTGTTTACTAACACTACCCGCAGATCTTTTACGGTAGCATTAACGTCCATATTAATCACAAAACCCGTTATTATTAAAAGAAAATAGAAGAATTGATTAATGGATTACCACCAAACCCCGTTAAAAAGTTTCCCGTTGTAGACACATTCCCTCATGTAGACATTTAGATGTCATAATCAAAATAAGGAGTTTCGTTTTAGCTATGGCCAGGTATCCCAAACTTTGAGAAGGATGTGGTGGAGTTCCACAGAACTTGTGCCAAGCTGAGTCTTCGAATGCTGAAACTGATTGGGATGGGACTTGGACTGGAGGTAACGGATATGGATAGCACGTACCTTTCACTACAAAAACTACACGTAGAGCAATAAAAAAAAAGTCATGCAGAATTCCAAATTTGAGTCAAAGGTTTTAGTCCCTAGACTGATAGACTGGAATGCTTTTACCACAAGTGTTTATTTCGCATCATACAGAAGTCATGTTTCCATTTGATAAAGCCGCCCATATGGTTTCTTTGACCCCTGATGGCTTCCAACTCATTAGAGAAATACATGTAGACAGTTGCCTCTCAGAAGCCGTCTGGTATATAGTAAAAGTAACCTGCTAAAACCAGTCGGGCTTTCGCAAAGGGTCTAAAAAACCTTTTCTGGTGGCAATCGGCCCCTTATATCTGAAGGGGACCGCTTGTCTTTGTTTAGTTATACCGGTAGCGGCAAAAGCGTAAGAACAATGGATCCTGTTTCCTGGTGGTAAATTGTGGATACCCTGTGCATGTCATCTAGGAAGGTACACTAATCTGGGCATAGCTCTGTAAAAGATTGTTCCTTTTGACACAATAATCTGTCTGAAAAAGCGTCTTTCTCCCAATTTTTTTTCCTCAGAGCAGCAATGCTTCTTCAATTCACGCACTGCTAAAATGGCGAAATTCCAAAATCATCTGTGAAGGTTTTACCAAAATATTGAGACAGAACCGTCTCTATCATAGCCATGCAAGAACCAGCCCAAAGAGTACATTGTATTTTATACCCAATGAACTTACCGCGTATTACGTAATGTGGAAGTGCCCCACACGAGACATTCAATCGATTGGGACTGACACGCCTGACTACGCATTTCTCTATTCACACATCTCACATGATATAGAAAATATTTAAGAATAAAATGTTCTAAACCAAGACAAACCTTTTAAGCTTAAACATTCTATATTAAATGTCTAGTTTGTATATGTAAAAAAAATAGAGGCTTCTCGCTTCTCAAAAATGTAGTTAAAGTCACAATAAATGACATACCAAACCAAATTTCATAAAAAAAACATTAACAACAGTTTTATGTTATGTTGTTTTCTTAAATATATCTTATTTTTGGTTTAGACATAGATTTTGAGTGTCTCTGTGGGTGTATAAATGCTGCAATGCTACATTTCAATGCAGTGCTTATTTTCTCAGGACCAAAATGAGTTACTCGCGTGCCATACAAATCTCGTCAACTGGCGTGACAACAGCTCAACCACGTTAAGACTGTTGACATATCCTCCTTACACCGAAAAAGAAGGTATTTTAAGAGCTTTTTTAAATAATGATACACTGCTTTCCTTTACCTTCTGCTTTATGGATGATTTTTCAGTGATATTAATTCTGCCTCTGCAAAAAATTGGAATGGTAAGTAAGTCCTTAACCCAGCTTAAGCGAAAATGATGTGGTGAGTTGATCTTGAGGGGATTTACTAGAACTGTAACCCAAAAATGGCTTGTGTACGAATACATTAAGTAAATATAAAAGTGCCTTTACTGTACACAATGCGTACTAGTACCTGTATTTAACAGCGTTATATGTAGGCTTTGACATATTGCTTGCCTATACGGTATGCAAGGAGGGGTGTTTTTCTTTTTGTGTTTTGTTTGTTTGGTTGTTTTCTGACTCTGGACAAATTTTGTTAAGGAAGTCCCAAACTCAGGTAACAACAAAGAAAAGTGTGACAGAGGATTACTAGTGCGGAACTATAGGTCTAACATTAGGCCTTACATAAGGGCTTGTTAAAAAAAAGTTGACTAGAAAAGCAGTATGAGAATGCAGTCCTCTGCCAGGATCACCACCAAAATCTAAGCACCTTTAGGTTGGCCCACTTCTGACCTGTCCTGAGAATTTCATGAAACTCCATCACATAAAGGCAAATGACAAACACAAAAATAAACAGATCGGTGTACAGAAAACAGAGATAACACACAGCCTCCCTGGCAGAGGTTATAAAAGTGTCAGTGCTGCATACCGTTTACTACATGTACATGTATTATTAACTTGTATATTATATATATATTTTTCTTTTTGGGTCGTTTTAAAATTGGAGGAGTTAAAAAAACAAGTAAAGCACATATTACACTCAGCCAAAAATGTTCGGAAACATCGTTATTTTGAATTATTATAAATTTACCATATAAGCTAATTTGAATATTTTAACAACAAATGTTGATGGATAATGCGCCCACCATTCGTTACTTTTTGAAATTTTGCCAAGAAAGGAATTCCGTGGGAATTACTGCGAGATACAGTTCAAATGAAGTTTTGGAGTTGCTCAGCATCATGTAAAGCCTGCACTGTTTATTGTCAAGACCTGATCAAACTTTGTCATGGAAATGACAGGATCAATAAAGATTATATTTACTATCGTGGATATTACTATGTTCCCAAACTTTTTTTTGGCCGGGTGTAGAACTATATACCGTATATATTTGCCTAATTATAAAGTTAATCTTTTAGTTGTTATGTTTTTGTATAAATTTCTTTATTACAGCAATCAGATGGATATGACATTTTTTCTTGATATTTGTTATTCTGTTACAATTTTCAGACATGACCCCAGGCCAGGCACGATGTAGTGAGCACACGGATTACGGCTCCATAACTCTGCTATTCCAGGATGATATAGGAGGCCTTGAGGTGATTGTGTTAGGTGTGACAGGTGATTGTGTTGGGTGTGACAGGTGATTGTGTTAGGTGTGACAGGTGATTGTGTTGGGTGTGACAGGTGATTGTGTTTGGTGTGACAGGTGATTGTGTTAGGTGTGGCAGGTAATTGTGTTGGGTGTGACAGGTAATTGCGTTAGGTGTGACAGGTGATTGTGTTGGGTGTGACAGGTGATTGTGTTTGGTGTGACAGGTGATTGTGTTAGGTGTGGAGGTAATTGTGTTGGGTGTGACAGGTAATTGCGTTAGGTGTGACAGGTGATTGTGTTGGGTGTGACAGGTGATTGTGTTAGGTGTGACATGTTATTGTGTTAGGTGTGACAGGTGATTGTGTTAGGTGTGACAGGTGATTGTTTTAGGTGTGACAGTGTGTCAAGTGACGGTAAAAGTCGAGGTTAAAAACCTTGGAGTAATTTTTGATAATAGGTGCGATATGGCTGCCAACATCAGTAAAAGATGCAAAGCTACTTACTATGGTCTTAAAAAAATTTCCAAACTATCCCATATCCTTGACAAAGGTCAAATGGAGAGGCTTGTCCATGCCTTTATAACTGCACATCTTGATTACGGAAGCAGTCTACTCTATGGCCTTCCTACCTACCAAAGCCGCCCACTACATTGGCTTCCTGTAAGACAGAGCATTGTTTTTAAATTACTGCTGTTTGTTTTTAAATTCACCAGAAGTGAATGCCCCTCATATTTTAACTCGATGCTACATCCAAGTACACCCAGTCTCACCAGGTCTACCAGATCCACCTCCACTCTTTGTTTTACCAGAAATGATAATAAAAAAAAAAAAAAACAATCAAAACCTACGGCCACAGGGCATTTTCAATTGCAGCGCCCATTTTATGAAATCAACTACCCTCACACATTCGGACTATTGATAGTGTTGAGGTTTTTAAAAAAGACTTGAAAACATTCTTATTTGTACAGTACAGTATTTTAATTTAAAATTAATACTAGAAACTTCATATTTTCTCATTTTATCAGAAAAAAGTTTTTTTGTTCAGACCATTACTATTTTAACCAGCATTAATTATTTTTATTATTTTTTTTACCTTAGCTTTTATTGTCTATATAATTAGTTGTAATACTGATAATTTTATTTGTAAACAGCACTGAGACGGTAGTGTAGTGCGGTTTTATGAAGTAATTATTATTATTATTATTATTATTATTATTAAGTGTGACTGTTGGATATGTCTCTGTTAAGAGTGAGGGTAGGTCTGTTGTGAATCTGCGCAAAGGCTTGCAGAGAAACCATGTGTTAAATGTGGCAGTGTGTCAACTGTGACCCGTGACACAGTGTAACTTTGTGTTTGATGTAACAGTGACAGTGTTAAGAAGGATGGTAGGTCTAGTGTGATTCTGTGCAAAGGATTACAGTTTGAGATTGCGTTAGATGTGACAGTAAATGTGTCTGTAAATTGTGGCTGCATGTAATTGTATCTTGATTGTCCCGCAGGTGCAGACAGTGGCTGGAGAGTACAAACAAGCCACACCTATACCTGGTACCATAGTGGTCATCTTAGATGACATGATGCCCAGATGGACCTCGGACAGGCTGAAGGCTACAGTGAGTCCATGTCTACCACGCAGACTAGTACTGCACTGCTGTTTCTTAATACTTCAATAATTACCTGTCTGTTTCCATTTGCTCATTAATAGTTATTCAAATTATGAGTGCAATTTGCCAGCCTGCCTCTTCTAAATGTATATTATACCAGTATGGTGATGACTTTTCCTCATTTTTGAATTAATACTTCTCGACTTCCAGCATTCCAAGCCAAGATTTCCCTGCACCAAACACTCATATTTAACCATTTGTCCGGGGAAAACGGCATTTTTCTCTCGACATTCCAGCATTTTATCTTCTTTTTTCCGACACTCGATCCTATAACTCCATTTAGGAAAAGAAAAAAATCAAAGCCCGAGCAGGTTTTTCAGTTACACCATTGATTCTGTGACTCGACTTCCGCGAGAATGATGTGACGTCTACTTATTCAAACTAATTTTTGTGTAATTCTTGATTATGCTGATCACTCATTTTCTGAAGCGACAAAGGAATTGTTTTAGTGTATGGGTCGGGCGGCGAGGGGGGGTACGCCCTGATGTTAAAATAACTACAGCATTTTTTTACATTTTTTTTCACACGGCCTCAACCGTTCAGTATTTACATTACACTTTTCCATTTTTCTAGCTGCACCGAGTTGTGCCTTCCCATAAGTATAATAGACGTAGAAGTCTGGTCTATTTCACACACCCTGATAGTTCTACGATTGTCAAACCTCTTGATGGGTCGGACACATACCCTCCTATACGTTATACAAGATACTTGACAGAGCAGTATTACAGCAGAGGACTTCTGGGAGAAGGCCAACGTGGTGACGTGGCCGCATAAGTCTGCATGTAAGATCGGTTTGTGGGTCCTGTAAATTGAATTTTAGGTCATGATTGTATTGTATTGTTGATGCTTCGTTTAAATTCCTGTTGGGGGACAAGGCATTTGGGGGATTATTTAACTATTGACAGTTTTACAGATAATCTTAATACTTCATGTACATGTATTATTTGCCCCAGCTTATAAATTCGGAACAGTCGATATACCCAGCAAACGCAGAATATTATTATAGCACAATTTTTGTATATCGATCACAAAAGAAAAAAGGTCCCTTGTTTGCTGGCATAGGGCCTTTCCTTGCCTCTGTTTTGTTGAATGGATGAATGGAAAAAGTGGCTCAGTTTGCAGCTTCACCTGTTTGCTTTTAAGCTCCCTTAATTTCACGCCATCGTTATTTAACATGCCTGGTAATCAATATTGTTATAGATATTGTTAGTAAGAATTATATCTAATACCTTGGTGTCAATAACAGTGTTCTCTTTCTAATTAACACAAATAGTGTTGTCAAGTTTATTGGTCCTATTGACCTTTAGACTTATTGATCTTGGTATCTTTACTCGTCTTTTAGTATCACCAAGCGAACCCGCCAACCATGATGACGATCCAGTGACTGCACCTACGATGGACAAATTGAAAAAAAAGGGGTCCACCAGTATGATTACAGAACATCCCAGCATACATTATAAAGAATGATACAGGTCGAATAAGCTGGGAAATTTTAATGGCACAGGATTGACATATATACAGCAGATAATACATACCCATAATTAGTTGCCTAACTGATATTTAAGAGTTAATTGGCTTACATTAGAGTTCAAGCTTTTGTCAAATTAATTGGAGCTTAAAATGCAATACATGTACTAAAGATTACTCTGAAAATGACATAACAGTTATATATATTCACATTGTTGATGGTGGTGCTGAAGTAAAAATTATATTGATATGAAGATGTGCTTGTTTTGAACGTCCCTTTTTATTGCTTAACGTAGTTATAAAATGTCAAAAGGTACTCATATACATGTACGTTTATACAGGTAAACAAATCATCACGAAACATAATTAAGATATAATCGACAATAAAGCTGTATATGGTTATACGTCTTGGAAAGAAATGCTCTCTAAGGGGAAACTCTACCTACGGCAGCAGGTTTTTTAAATAATTATATTAGACAATAAAAATGTGTTTTAATTGTGTGAAGTTATCGCACCCACATTTGAGAATGTCCCAAAGTCGCATTTGTTAGTAATACAGAACAGGATAGGTTTTAAATTCCCGAAAGATACACAGCTTAAAGACGAGAAGACATGCAAATTTATTCCACAGAACATTAGCAAATGCTACGTACATGCACCATGTAAACAATATATGCATTCACACAATAGCACGCCAGTTAAAGGACGACTTTGCAGGAAGCACCTATCGACGTTCACGTTCGTCAAATGGAACATTTCCATTCACGTGACATTTTTTCACGTATCAGATCTACCTTTGACCCAGATTAGCAGCATGTTGTTAACGTAAGCCCGACTGCAAAAATGACGGCGGCTCAAGGACACCGCGACTTTAGCTGGATACCAGTCATCGATATAAAGGCAGCATGTTGTTAACGTAAGCCTGACTGCAAAAATGACGGCGGCTCAAGGACCAGTCATCGATATAAAGGCGTTTGACATCACAAAAGAAGAAAACGAGGTCGACAGAAACGATCTGGAAACGTTGGCCAATGATGTATTCAAAGCCTTCAGTACCATTGGTTTTGTATACGTCAAAAGCCACGGAATCCCCCAAGACCAGGTTAGTAACTACATATAGCACGGAATTATATGCATTAACACTACTGTGTTACGTTTTATTGCGTGTTCTAGAGTATATATTAGCAGACACTTTAAGGGGAAGTTAACTGTATGGGGAATAAAATCCATACCCCTTCTTCGTCCTAGATGTTCCGATGTGAATATCTTTGCACGAGTACGTAGTGCTTACCTCTCACACAAAGCATTAAATGACGAAAAAAGGAAAAAAAAAAGAAACGAAACGCACTCTTCATCACTCCCCAATTTGATTGATCAAGATGACTGAGGTGGTTCATAATCCATAATGGTCCATAATCAAAGATTCTGGCNATGAAACTCCATCACATAAAGGCTAATGACGAACACAGAAACAAACAAATCGGTGTACAGAAAACAGAGATAAATTTAAACATACAGCCTCCCTGGCAGAGGTTATAAAGGTGTCAGTGCTGCAAACTGTTTACTACATGTACATGTATTATTAACTTGTATATTATATATATTTTTCTTTTTGGGTCGTTTTAAAATTGGAGGAGTTAAAAAACAAGTAAAGCACATATTACACTCAGCCCAAAAAAGTTCGGAAACATCGTTATTTTGAATTATTATAAATTTACCATATAAGCTAATTTAAATATTTAAACAAATGTTGATGGATAATGCGTCACCATTCGTAACTTTTTGAAATTTTGCCAAGAAAGGAATTCCGTGGGAATTACTGCGAGATGCAGTTCAAATGAAGTGTTGAAGTTGCTCAGCATCATGTAAAGCCTGCACTGCTTTTTGTCAAGACCTGTTCAAACTTTGTCATGGAAATGACAGGGTCAATAAAGATTATATTTACTGTCGCGGATATAACTGTCCCCAAACTTTTTTGGCCGAGTGTAGAACTATATACTGTATATATTTGCCTAGTTATAAATTTAATCTTTTTGGTGTTATGTTTTTGTATAAATTGCTTTATTACAGCAATCGGATGGATTACACATTTCTTGATATTTGTTATTCTGTTACAATTTTCAGACATGACCCCAGGCCAGACACGATGTGGTGAACACACGGATTACGGCTCCATAACTCTGCTCTTCCAGGATGATATAGGAGGCCTTGAGGTAATTGTGGTAGATGGTGACAGGTTATTGTGTTAGGTGTGACAAGTGATTGTGTTAGATGTGACAGGTTATTGTGTTAGGGGTGACAGGTGATTGTGTTAGATGTGACAGGTTATTGTGTTAGGTGTGACAAGTAATTGTATTAGGTGTGACAGGTGATTGTGTTAGGTGTGACAGGTGATTGTGTTAGGTGTGACAGTGTGTCAAGTAACAGTAAAAGTCGAGGTTAAAAACCTTGGAGTAATTTTTGATAATAGGTGCGATATGGCTGCCAACAACAGTAAAAAAATGCAAAGCTGTTTTCTATGGTCTTAAAATTTTTTCCAAACTATCCCATATCCTTGACAAAGGTCAAATGGAGAGGCTTGTCCATGCCTTTATAACTGCACATCTTGACTACGGAAACAGTTTACTGTATGGTCTTCCTATCTACCAAAGCCGCCCACTACATTGGCTTCCTGTACGACAGAGAATTGTTTTTAAATTGCTGCTGTTTGTTTTTAAATTCACCAGAGGTGAATGCCCCTCATATTATAACTCGATGCTACATCCAAGTACACCCAGTCTCACCAGTGCTACCAGATCCACCTCCACTCTTTGTTTTACCAGAAATGACACAGGGCATTTTCAATTGCAGCGCCCATTTTATGAAATCAACTACCCTCACACATTCGGACTATTGATAGTGTTGAGGTTTTTAAAAAAGACTTGAAAAACATTCTTATTTGCACAGTACAGTATTTTAATTAAATTTTAATACTAGAACCTTCATATTTTCTCATTTTATCAGAAAAAAAGTTTTATTGTTCAGACCATTACTATTTTAACCAGCATTAATTAGTTTTATTGTTTTTTTACCTTAGCTTTTATTATCTATATAATTAGTTGTAATACGTATAATTTTATTTGTAAACAGCACTGAGACGGTAGTGTAGTGCGGTTTTAGGAAATAAATATCATATTTATTATTATTATTATTATTAATTGTGACTGTTGGATATGTCTCTGTTAAGAGTGATGGTAGGTCTTCTGTGATTCTGCGCAAAGGCTTGCAGAGTAACCATGTGTGAATCTACGCTTGTAGAGAAACCATGTGTTAGGTGTGACAGATGATTGCATTAGGTGTGACAGGTTATTGTGTTAGATGTGACAGTGTGTCAAGTGTGACCCGTGACAAAGTGTAACTTTGTGTTTGATGTGACAATGACAGTGTTAAGAGGGATGGTAGGTCTAGTGTGATTCTGTGCAAAGGATAACAGTTTGAGATTGCGTTAGATGTGACAGAAAATGTGTCTGTAAATTGTGGCTGCATGTAATTGTATCTTGATTGTCCCGCAGGTGCAGACAGTGGATGGAGAGTACAAACAAGCCACACCTATACCTGGTACAATAGTGGTCATCTTGGCTGGCATGATGCCCAGGTGGACCTCGGACAGACTGAAGGCCACGGTGAGTCCATGTCTACCAGACTAGTACTGCACTGCTGTTTCTTAATACTTCACTTATTACCTGTCTGTTTTGATTTGCTCATTAATCGTTATTCAAATTATGAGTGCAATTTGCAGGCCCGCCTTTTCCAAATGTATATTATACCAGTATGGTGATGACTTTTCCTCATTTTTAAATTAAAACTTCTCGACTTCCAGCATTCCAAGCTATGATTTCCCTGCACCAAACACTCATATTTAACGAATTTGTAGTGGTAAACGACATTTTCCCTCAACTAATCAGCATTTTATCTTCTCTTTTTCGACACTCGACACTCGATTCCATAATTTTGTTGTGGCATGACTTGAAAAGGTACGCCCTGATGTTAAAATAACATTTTTTTTTACGTTTTTAACATGGCCTCAACCGTTCAGCATTCAAATCACACTTTTCCATTTTCTAGCTGCACCGAGTTGTGCCTTCCCATAAGTATAACAGACGTAGAAGTCTGATCTATTTCACTGATCCTGATAGTTCTACGATTGTGAAACCTCTTGATGGGTCGGATGCATACCCTCCTATCTGTTACACAAGATACGTGACACAGCAGTTTGTCAGCACAGGAATCCTGAGTGAAGACCAACATGGTGACGTGGCCGCATAAGTCTGCATGTAAGATGGGTTCTGTATTTTGGATATTAGGTCATGGTTGTATTGTATAATTGGTGCTTCGTATAAAAGCCATTTGGGGAAATATTTAATTATTAACTGTTTTACAGATATGATCAAGTAACTTTGAATACTATCAATACTTCATGTTTTATTTGCCCCAAATTTTAAAGTCAGAACAGTCGATATACCCAGCAAACGCAGAATATTATTATAGCACAATGTTTGTATATCGTTCACAAAAAACATCACCACCAACAACAAAACCATAAGAAATATGGTATCGCTATAAAATGTTCCGTGTTTGCTGACATGGGGCTCTTACTTGCTTATGTTTTGATGAATGGAAAAATGACCCTTTTACCCTTTTAGGCTCTCTTAATTTCACGCCATCGTTACTTTACATGCCTGGTAATCAATACTGTTATACATATAGATATTTTAGTACGTATTATACCTATTACCTTGGTATCAGTAACAGTGCTGTCTTTTTTACATAACACAAATAGTGTTGTCAAGTTTATTGGTCTCATTGATCTTTAGACTTGATCTTGGTATTTTTACTCGTCTTTTAGTATCACCAAGCGAACCTGCAACCATGATGAGGACTGCAGTGACTGCACCTACGTTGGACAAATTAAAAAAGGGGTCCACCAATATGATTATAGAACACCCCAGCAAACATTATAAAGAATGATACAGACCGCATTAGCTGGAGAATTTTAATGGCACAGGATTGACATATATACAGCAGACAATACATACACATAATTAGTTGCCTAACTGATATTTAAGACTTAATTGGCTTACATTAGAGTTCAGGCTTTTGCCAAGTTAAACGGGGCTTATGATGCAGTGCATGTACTAAAGACATTGATTATTTTGAAAATGATAACAGTAAGTTATCCAAATTGTAGATGATGTAGCTGAAATTATATTGATATTAAAATGTGCTTGTTTTAAACGTCTCTCGTTATTGCTTAATGCAGTTATAAAAAGTCAACAGGTTCTCACATATGAAA